ACCTAACCTAACCTAACCTAACCTAACCTAACCTAACCTAACCTAACCTAACCTAACCTAACCTAACCTAAAGATATTTATACTTTGAAAAAATGTGATCATAAAGAGAGTCCGAAGATGACGGAAGTCCTATTGATCCTGTAGATTACATGGACAGTCCGAGGTTAGTAGGAGATCCGATAGTGACTTTTCAAATTAAATGGCTCTACTACTATATGGAACCTTTTCATTAACGCGTTTGCGACACTATCAGAATTACAATTCAATTTCAAATCAAATGATCAAATGGCGTAGTAAGATATTGAATAATCAAAAGTTATACACCGTTTTCCGTACAGTAGGTTAGATGCTCAAAGTAATTTATAATGAATGGTATTTATGGTTGTTAACAAATGGATACTTGGTTAGTTAGCTAGACAGAGCCGATAGACTAAAAGCGATCGTCTATAAAATTACTGGACATTCTTGTACTTGTACCGAAACGCTAGCACTAAAACTATTTTGTCTACGAAAGGCGTAAAAACGTTATATGACCAATAATAATACGATGACTTCACCTTTACAAAAGTAGATTTTTTAACAACATACACCACCAAATTTAAAATGTGCCCTATGCATCACCATCTAGCATCGAATTTATCATCATATTCAAGTCATTCTCATGTTCAGGAGGTATCAACATATTATGATTACCGTAGACACTACTCGATGGATCGGATTTTAGATAATCAAGCATATCCCTGAAGAAAATACTATCTTGCTCAATGACAGTGGCATTATCTTCTGGTAGTTGTATACTCTTAGCGGCCACATTAAGTCGGTGTTGAAAGATATTCGTTCTTGGTTTTAATAAACATATCACCTGCTGGTAAAATAGCTTTCAGAATCGGCAATGAAATGTCTACAGCTCGATCATAGAGAACATTCTTGCTTTCAACGCTCCTTAAGGTCAGTATACCCGTCTTTATATGTCTTTATATAGTCGAGATCTTGACATCCTATATTTCCAATTCATTTGCTCTCAAAATAACTTAATATAATAATTAGAGAGGCCCAAAAAGGACACGAAGAAATAACGCAATCTGCCCAGATCCGATCAACTTGTCTGTTTAGATGAAATCACTATAAATACAGATAATTGATCATGACGCATTAAAGTATATTGCTAAACTGGCTGTTTGAAAATTCGAGGTTGGAAGCTTTAGTTTTGGGACATGGCATAAACGGTCGATACAGAATCAACTATTGTTGGGTGAGCAACGGAGGAAGTGATTAATCATACTTACCTGCGCATTCTAAACGCTAATTTAATATTGACACGAAATTGATATGCATTATCCTTGATGTCCACGTCAGTGATCGAGACATCGTTTATCCAATCTTTTATCTTGGTGTTTAACGTAGCAATATCATCCGTTTTGAGAATAACATCTTCTCCTACGTTGCTCTTCCTGAATTTATACTTCACTATCGTTAGAGAAAACTATTTATACAAAATTACTCCCAATTGGGACTACCTACAGAGTCTTATTTCATTTGCGCTCATAAGGAAGAGTGACAAATTTCCGCTTGATTTAGGCAGTATTTTACGATGTCTTATTTGAAAATTTTCACTATTAGTAACAATATTTTGATAGTATTTAGTATTTCTTTGTAGAAACGTATCCATGTTGCTTTTTTTACCTAACGCCAATACATTTTTTTTGCTAATCTAACGTGAAATTGGCGATCGTGAAACTTAAAACATTCATCCAAGTTTAACAAGTTCAATTATTTACTGTGATCAGTAGAAATTGAGAACTCTTTCCACTTGTCTGCATTGTCGATAAGGTCTTTGGCCTTGCTAACTATGCCGTTGTATGAGTCTGAACCGAGTGCAACTCTAGTAGGGACTTCACCGTCACTGATCTGTTTAGCAAAACCACGGTTGGTCAAGAGCTCGATAATCCTTTTGCTTCCAGCTTTAGGATCACCTAATTGGGTTCCGTCTTGCTCTTTGAACACTTCAGACATGGCTTCGCTTACTGGTGCGTAGTCAGAAATTGGATTCTTCGGTGTTTGAATGTTAGAGCCCTATTTACGGTTAGAAGGATATCCTGAGCGGTTATAATGCTCACCTCTTGCAAGAAGTTAGTACGGAAATATCTATGAGAATCGTTTAGTTGCAGTGTTGGGTGAAAGCTGGGTTTAACACTCACCCTGGCTCGATAATTAGTACCTTTATGTCCAAGTGTTGTGTCTCCATTTTGAGAGACTCGAACGTTGCCTCTAAGGCATATTTTGATGCGGAGTAATATGAGATGTATGGGAAAGTAGTGATGCCAACTAAAGATGAGATTACCGAAATAAACTTTTCGCCGTATTTACGTGATCTAAAATGTGAAAGGAATGCATTAGTAACGTTTATTGTACCCCAAAAGTTGGCATCAAATTGTGCTTTAGCTTGCTCAAGTGGTACCTCTTCGACGCCTGTATAACGTTAGCCTAACTTCTATGTATAGCTCAGAAACTTACAACCGGCAACTGAATATGCTGCGTTGTTAATCAAATGAGTGACATGTCCATGGATACTAATAGCGTTGTTCACTACATTTGCAATTTCTTCTTGCGAACTGGAAATATCTAATTTGAGGATGTCGACATTTTCGAGTTGCTCAAAGTCCCTTATTTTGTCCAAATTACGAGCAGTAGCTATTACTTTATGTCCTTGCGTATTTAATTCGAGCACTAATTCTCTTCCAAATCCTGTTGATGTGCCAGTAATGAAAAATACGTTTGGTAAAGTCATGACAGTTATGATTCAAGGACATGTTACTCGATATATAAGAACGTTACACGTGTCCCACCTCGGGTTCCGTCTCTAAATGATGTCACCGTAGTTTAAGCACATAATCACTTTATTTATAAGCCATGACATTCTATGGTGTTCTATCTGCTATAATGTATACTACTGATATAGGCACCCTTTACTACTTAGCAGAGACCCCCCAAAAGATAAATAGAAAGGCTTAATCTGTTCCCCAACCCTTAGTTATTCGATGTAACCTCATTTATCATTTATAATCCTACTTCTTGGTTTCAGAATTTAACTGCCCAAGTTCGACAAATTGGCGAGTGTATGCTGATCCTTAGGGAAAGCAAATCAATTTATTATTTTACAAATACTCTGGAGCAGTTTCAAAGAATGACTGCTTGAAAATTTTGCAACCTTGTTCCATTTCTGCCTTAGAGATGTTGAGAGGAGGGATGAAACGAATGACATCATAGATAGACGTGGTAAGAATGAATAAGCCTTTCTCAATACACTTTTTATGGATTTTTTCACCGACTCCTCTGAATGTGATATTCTTTTCAGCAGGTATAGCTAAATTGCTCGATTTGAATTCAATACCAACCATGAGACCATGGCCACGTACGTCAGCAATGAGCTTCCTGCCTTCCTCTGACTGTTTCAACTCATTGAGCATATTGAAAAGCTCTGCACTTCTCGATTTCACATTTCCGATGATATCCTCTTCCTTGAACACTTTGTGAACCGCCAATCCAGCAGCACAAGCGACAGCGTTGCCCGAATATGTACCTCCTTGCATACCTGGTCCCATCTTGTGCATAATAGATCCACTAGCAACTATCCCACTGAGAGGGAAGCCATTGGCAACACCTTTGGCGAACGTCATTACATCTGGTCTAACGCCTGAGTGCTCAATAGCGAACATTGCGCCAGTCCTTCCAAATCCGCTTTGAATCTCATCAATAACGAGCAAGATGCCATACTTGTCGCATCTTTCGCGAAGTGCTTTCATGTAAGAGTTTGGCACTGGTATGTAACCACCCTCGCCTATGACTGGTTCAATAAAGATGGCTGCTGTGTCTTGTGGTGCACATTGCTGCAGGAAAAGTGCATCCAGATCAAAAATGGCCCTCTCTACGACCGCGTCTTCTGAAGTTTCGGCCGGAACGCCCAATTGGTGCCAGTAAGGGAGAGTTGTAGCAAAGACACCGCTAATTACAGGTCCGACTTCATGCGCATAGACTGTTTTGCTGCGCGATAATGCTGAGCTACCGTAGGTGCGTCCATGGAACGCACCCTGCATGCAAATAACATTCTGACGACCAGTTGCCTTGCGCGCTACCTTGATGGCATTGTCTATAGCCTCACTACCGCTGTTTAGAAAAAGCATCGTGTCTAGTGATTCATCTGGCATTATCTGAAGTAGCTTTTCGACTAATTCGACATATGGTCTGCAAAAACCGAGAGTACATTGCGCGTGTGTGATTGTCTTTACTTGGTTGATTACAGCCTCTGTAACGACGGGATGGCAGTGCCCGAGGTTGGTGACCCCTACAAGGCTTAATACGGTATCAAATCGGGTTTGGGTACCTACCGATACCGCTAGAAAAGTCCAAAAATTTTTTCTTGTCAGTGTATATGTAGCTGCCTTCACCTCGCTCCATTACAAAGTCTGACATTCTTGCTAATCCATTGCCTATATGCTTCTGCCCGAGGATCTTAAGATCGGCTGCATCGAAAGTAGTAGTGATTGTATTGGTGTTCATAACTGCTTAGTAAATAAAGAAAGACCTGCATGGGTCTCGTTAAATAGTGTAAGGCCGAGTAACGACTTGGTCCAATGAATGTAGCATATAGATGCTGACACGGCTTCGGAATTTTCGACACCACTCAAACGCAAAAAGCCTCTAACTGTAAATAGATACGATGCGCTACTTACAAAATCTTACAAGAATGCCTGAGCAGTGTACGGCACCGCGTCATATTGGAGGTACTGACATGGCTCTCACAGTTACATAAGCGCAAAGTACATCTACTGAAGATACAATGTCAATTCAAGCTTTCAGTAATAAACAGGTAAGCATAGCTACTCTGTGGTATCTAATTTAACACCATTCAGTACATTCCAGCATCTGCACCCCTCGTTCAGACAATTAAGTACAACGGTTTAGTATTCATAAGCGGCTGTATACCTTTAACCAAGCAAGGCAAAATTATCGAAGGAGATATCAGTTTGCATGGTAAGGTAGCACTGGAGTGGATGAAAGACGCGCTCGCCCAAGCAGGCACAACCCCTTCAAGAGTGCTGAAAGTGACATGCTTCTTTGGTTGTAATTTAGAACAAGTACCCCAATTCAACGAAGTTTATGGCAACTTTTTCAATGAGTACAATCACAAGCCATGCAGGACGGGCGTTAAGGTCGCGGGGTTACCCTCTATTGATGGTGTACAAGCGCTGGTAGAAATTGAATGTGTGGCTGCAGTGGAATAGCACTTCTCTATCTGTAATATATACATGTATAGTGGACATAGAGAGATAATACTCTGAGATTCTCAAATGAAATGAAATAGCGTGATACAAAGCAGCCAGGATCATTTTTTACTAATTGGTGCGTATTTGATGCTTCTTCTGCTTATTCGCCCTTAATCTCTGACGAACCAGTGAAGCTGAAATTATCAATGTCTGAGACAATGTAAATGAGAATAAAGTACTTATGTCTAGCTTCTGTTATCTACAAATATTTCGATAAGCCCTGTACATCATGATAGCCACTGATCTAGATAGTTAAGATAAGACCATAAGAGCCGTGCTTCAGTACTGATTATAAGCAAAAGTTCGTCTTGTTTTCCAATAACAATGAGCTATACAAGTGACAAAGACCAAAAGAAGGAAGCTGTGGACGTTACCGCCGATGTCACGACCCTGAAGGATGATCTAGAGGCTAATGGAATGAATGCAGAATTTATCAATCTTCGTACGACGGGATGGGTGCAAGTGAGTTTTACTTTCATCTAAGTTTTGCCATTGAACGTCTCACTCATAGGCAATTCCGCTGATTCTCAAAGTCCAAATAGGTTTGGGTGTGCTGTCAATCGCAAGTACATTAACGTCACTAGGATACGCCCTTGGAACTGTTGTTCTTGTCTTCATAGGCTTTTTGACAACGTACTCAAACGTGATAATTTCAAATTATGTGCAGGAACATCCAGAGATAGACACAGTTAGCGATATTGGCTACAGCTTATTTAAACGACCCGGCAAGGAAATTTTTGAGGTGGCATTCTGTATCTATATGATCATGATCGTCTCATCTGGATTATTGGGCATGTCTACAGCTCTAAGTCAGTTATCGGATAATGGTGCTTGCTCGGTCATATTCGTCAGTGCGATGGCTATCGTTGTTTTCCTTCTCGCTTCACTCCATCAAGCGCGCTATGTCAGCTATGCAGCATGGTTCGGTGTTGGATGCATAATTGTCAGCGTTATGATTGTAACTATTGCTGTGGCCGTGGCTGATAGACCAGCAGCTGCCCCTGTTGGTGAATACAATCTTGGTCTAACTGCAAGCGTTGAAGGGTCTTTTGTGGATGTAATGTCAGGAATCTCAACGATCATTTTTGCATACGGCGGTTTACCTGCATTTATACCAATCATGAAAGAGATGAAGCAGGAGAAAGACTTCACCAAAAGTCTTTACGTCGGACAAGGGATCACCACAGTGTTTTACATCATTGTAAGTCTGGTTGTCTACACATATTGTGGACAGTATATCTCCTCGCCAGTGCTAGGTAGCGCAGGGACTATTATCAAGAAGATTAGCTACGGAATTGCATTCAGTGGATTACTAGCCGGTGCAGTGGTTGTTGCACATCTCCTCGCAAAATCGCTGTTCGTCAGAATTTTCAAGAGATCTCAATATTTGTACAAGAAGAGCGCCCGCCATTACGTCTATTGGATGCTGACAGTTGCCGGTGGAGTTGTCGTCGCCTACATTGTCGCAAATTGCATACCCTATTTCGATCTGGTCATTTCGCTTGTTGGTGCAATTTTTATGACATTCTTTGTCATAGTCATGCCAGGATTGGTATTCCTCATGAAAAACGACAATAATAAGAATGGAGTCGATGCATGTAGACATTGGTTTGACTGGACAGCCAACGTTTTCATGGTGCTCTTTGGCGTTTTCGTTATGATTTCAGGTACCTATGCCACTTGTATTCTTTTAAGACAGCAGTACGGCGATACGACACCATTTAGCTGCTAATTGTTTAATTTTATAGATTGTTTTATTTTGTTTCAGCGTTTTTTGTGAATCCTCGTTATCTTATCAGAGAGCCCAGTCAAGTTAATTGAACCGAGATATCAGTTAATGTACTCATGCGTTCATTAGATAACTCAGGTAGAACCAGCAAGCTAAGCCCTTGACGATAGTAAAAATGGCACCAACGCACAGATCCCGCAATTCCAGCGCCGATAATGGAGATAGAGCATGGTCTGAAGAAGAGGACAAGCTATTGTTGCGTCTAGTGAAAGAATATGGGAGTGAAAGAGGTAGACGGAGCAGCTGGCCATTGATAGCGTCCTATTTTGGTGGTAAGAGAACGATGAAACAGTGCCGTAAGCGTTACTTCTATACACTGGACTCAACTATCACGCACGGAAAGTGGTCGAGGGAAGAAGATAACAAGCTTCTAAGTTTGATAGATGTCTTTGGGCATAAATGGAAGGAGATTAGTTTTGAGATGACCGGGCGCACAGACGATCAGTGCTCCTCAAGATATCTGAACTGTCTACAGTGCAAAAAAACGCCTTGGACGGCTGAGGAAGACGCTACACTTCTCAATCTATACGAAGTCGATGGTCCATTGTGGACAAAGATCTCCAGCTCGTTGCCAGGTAGGTCAGCTCTGAATTGCCGCAACAGGTATCGTAAATTTGGCGGTAAGGTGTACAAAGCGCGCAAACTAAGTGCATCCGGGTCGAAAAAGGTGTGTTCACACGTATTGAGGGCTCCTGGCTGATATATGTTAGGATTATGTTAATAGCGATAGTCAGAATGAGTCGACGGACGGATCCACGTTTGACGTGCATGACTGTGCCAACAAATCGTCTGATATATCTAGCTCTAATGACATCGAAAACTTCAATGTGGTTGTTGCAAGAATGTTTCCTCAGTTAGTTCCTCAGGATGCGTTTAATACGCTTTTCATGATGCAGCTCAACGCCATACCCACTGGAGCCACTCCTATTCAATCCGACGCGTCACCGCTGTTTCCTGAAGAAGCGGAGTTTCGACAAGTGAGTCTGCCGCCGTCCAGTTCGCCCTTATTATTTGACTTTGAGAATGTTTTTACATGGTAGAATACCATTGCATGCATGATTTATACAAATTTATTCCTTGTGTGCGCTGTTGCACCTATATTCTACGCTCTTAAAGAGACACTCTCCTTCGAAACGACCGCTGTCTTCGTCGGCGGTGTTGTCGTAAGTGAACTGGGCCGAATCAGTCGATATGATCCTCGGTTTCCATCCTCTGCCGGTTGAAGCAGAATCAATAGTGAGTTGCACTTGACATTGTTTCTCCAGGGAATAGAACCAAAACGCAGCGCTCTCGATAGTCTTCCCCACAGTCAATGCGCCATGATTGACCATGAACAAGGCCTTATTTGACTTCAATGCGGCGACGATTGCAGCAGATTCCTCGCCTTTCAGGACTACCCCGCCGAAATCATCGTAGACTGCATGATCATTGTAGAAGATGCACGCATCTTGGCTAATCATCTCGAGTTTCCTGCCAAACGCGCTGAAAGCCTTAGTATAACGTGAGTGCGAATGACAAACAGCATTCGCGTCCGGACGGGCGTAATGTACAGCGGCATGGATTACATAAGCTGCTGAATTGTAATATTGACGATCGGGTTTGCCGCCTTCCACAATCCTACCACTGTGGTCGATTCTGAGCAAATCAGAAGCGGTCATCATTTCAAAAGGCACGCCAAAGGGGTTGACCCAGAATGTGTTGCTGTCAATGCAGTCTCTGACTGTAAGATGACCAGATGCTCCTTCTTCCATACCGTGAGCTGCGAAGAACCTAAAAGCCAAAGCTAGTCTTTCTTTAATGTACTGTCTTAGCCCCTGCTGGCTGCTTATCTCGGCGCTTATTAGTATGTGAACAGCTGCAGAGTGTTTTGCTTACTTTTTTATAGGTTGACTCTGGAATATAAAACGCAGTAAAGTCTTCTTTTTCTTCAGTCAAAATCATCGTATCTGGAATTTATAAAAGAAAAGGAGATAAATCTCCTTTTTAGGCGTTCTTGGTAGCATGGCTCGAATTGACACGGTCCAACTGGACCTCATTAAGAGTGTCACTAGAACGCGCATTAATCATGTGTGTGTGATAGATACGCATACGCATTCAGAGAAATTAACATTCACTAGCTCAAATAGAAGATTGTATCTCAGTCCCCTGAATCTGAGATTTAACACCTTTGCTTATATAAACACCATTCTCCCTACTTGCACACTCCAATCTCTCAGGATTCTTTAGCTTGAATCAATTTCTACATCTGTTTTTAAAAGTCTGAACAACTTGGATCGTTTAGATCTGATTTATGTCTGGTCTAGCTGTCCGCTTTGCTTACACAGGGTGGCTGGAAAATGTTATGGCGTTACAATACTGCTTTTTCCGTCAGTGTTCTCATCTCTAATGTCTCCAGTTCTAAGCTATTGCAATTTCATGGATATGAATATACGCGTTTGAGTTACAAGCAAACAATCTAATAGCCTTTAACTAAGTCGACGCGATTTATGATTTCCTGTGATGTCTTGATTTTCTTGATATTTTCAATCAGGATATCTGTGGCTAGCTCGAACTCAAGCTCTGCCTCGCCGGAGAGATGTGGTGTAATAAGCACGCGTGGATGAGTCCATAATTTGTGACCATTTGGCAGTGGCTCAGGATCAGTGACATCGAGAGCAGCAGATATGGTGTTCGACCCCTCGTTGAGTGCCTTCATCAGCTCTGATGTCTCGATTACATTGCCGCGACCGATATTAACGAACACACCATCCTGGTTGAGCAAGCAGAGGAGATCTGCATTTAGGATATTTGTCGTTTGCTCTAGAGTCGTGGTCAAAATTTGCGAGTATGGAAGCAGCTACTCACTCGTCCATGGAAGGGAAGATATGAGAATATCACTTTCACTGATCATCTCTCTCAAGCTGTTTCCATCTTTCGAGCTGAACATTTTCTCTGGAATAGTAGCTACATAGAAAGTCAGTACAGACACAAAGGCTGTTGAACACCCACCATCGAAGTCGCCAGTGCCTGGGATAATGAAACCACTATCTTGTGTCCGCTCGCCTGATGTGTTGGCAGCAATAATTCTACAACCAAATGTCTTGAGCAATCTCGCACACTCTCTTCCAAGGTGTCTACAACGGGAGTCAGAGTTAACCTCTTATCGGTTAGCTACGCACCCATATCCGAGAATCCCCACTGTTTTACCTCTCAACGAGCGAACTTTGTAACGATTCCCGTGATGATCGGGAAGATCGTCAATCCACTTTTGCTTGTTAACTTGATTGAGCAGCTGCTCAGGAAGACGGTGATAAATGTTGAGTATGCATGCGATCGCGTACGGTGCAACACAAGTGACGTGTAATCCAGACGCGTTTGATACGACGATATTAAGATCATTTGAGTTTGTCAATTCAGCGAATGAAGGATTATCAATCAGGTCGTTGGCACCAGCGCAGCTGAGTTGTATCAACTTCAGACTCTTGAAGTCCTTGAACGATGATACGCCCTCAGGTAAACCTCTTTTTAGGCAAAAATAGACATCCGCTCTGTTGATTATTTCGATTGGTACGTCCTTGTTATTTGGGAAACTGTGAACTTCATCGAAATGCTCTTTAAGACGCTGGATGTTGTCCTGTGAGAGTGGTGGAGATATTGTCGATAGGAGTATAGCCATTTTATGTATCACTATCGAGGCAATTTTCGCTTATTTATTGATGGGAGCCAAGTAGTAGTGACTTGGCGCTTATCTTATCAAGGTGCATGACGCTCGAGCAGACAATTAAGATTGTCAATTGAGCGAATCATGGAAATCCATGAGACGAAAAAAGCGAAAGTAACCTAGCTTATTGATTTTGAATTTCGTACATTAATTATAACTTGATATCGCATATAACTCTTAAACACTTTATCGCACTATAATTATCATTGCAGGAGATATTGGCTTTGTAGACTTCACTGCTTCGAAGACTTAGTTGAGAGTGAGTCGTTGAATCAGACTTTGAATTTCTTCCTAGATGCAAAGGTAGTAGACTAACAAATGATAAGCTCCCAGAAATTACCAATAAATCCAGGAACTAAGATTTACTGACAGCGTTTCGGAGTTTGTTGTTCTACGTGATTGTCTCATAGTCTTACAATTGTATTAATGTGCAGGCACAACATTTAACATAAATTCCTATACCTCTTTGCGACTTATTCTGTCCAGACATTCATAAATCTGCCAATATGCCTTAATCAATATGATTTACACTATCGAAGTCAATGCAATTGCGCAATTCCCAATATTATTAATCATAGACATGCCGATCAGTACCTCAATTATTAAGTCCGCTATTGAATCTTTTCAGTTATATGTGTAATATTTACACTTTTATCATAAACAACAAGAAACTCTCTTTATGTAACCTAAAACAATCACAATCAAATGGAGATCATGAGAGAGCTAAACACTGCTAAAGGCTTTTTCGATGCGTCCTCGATGTAAATTTCATATAAAGTATTTTGATCTTTTCTTTGAACCTACTGCAGTCTTTTATAGAAGGATCAACACCCTCGTAGCTAAAATATTAGTAAACACTTCACGTTATTATGAATGTCCTTATTCATTACAAACTACTAAAGGACATCAAACAGAAGAACTCTCGTTGGATTTTTTCGCTTCGTGAGCTCATTACTTATTCCTGCTGCTGCATGTAAACCGACCCAGATGAAAATTTGTTTGCTTCCTACGTTAAATAGACACCTTGGTCAAGAAATAGGACATTCTGATGCAAGTCCAAGAAAGGATGTTATGAATCCTAAAGGGGCAAAAGCTGGATTAGTTTACTTGTAGGGACACATAATGTTAGTTATAATACGGCCATGTATGTGGAACAGTGGCTACTGTACTTCACTGTCGTACTACTGCTTGTTTACATCAGCAATGAGCCTCAGCAAACTAGTTGTATAGGGGCAGCCATCTTTAGCGAGTATGTAAGTTAATGCAATGTCCAAACTCAGTTGCAGGATCATATTATGATTCACCTACATTATTCATTTTCTCTGTGGAAAAGGTCTCTCTAAGACATTGAATTGCTGCTGTAGCCAAGAAGAAGTCTAACGGTCTTGATGAACAGGCCAAAGTAAAATTGATACTTTATAGGTTTTATATATTAATTATCAAACAAAGGAGATAATCAATTGTTCCCTGGATAAAACCTTTACAAAGAGAGACAACTGGGATTGGCTTTCGGAAATGCGACCTGACATGTTAAGTAGAGGTAAAATTACATTTTCAGAAGCCCTCAAAGTCGCTACAGACTATCTTCAATATACTTTGAAAGCAGTTCCATTCGATAATTTAATGAGACCAGTTGGTTTTCTATACAATATAGAGTGATTGGTGGTGAAATTTCGTCAAGTACAGTCAATATAGCATATTTCAATTATCGTTGGTCAATAGATTCACTACCTGTTATATAAACCACACACGACCACCTCGTCGATTATGTAGCTCTTCGGATCCTCGAGATACATTATTTAGCACAGGACCATTGAAACGCAGAGTGCCATATATTGATGAATAGACTTACAATTATATCCTTTTGTGAATAATTTGTTATTTTTCCAATTATCATGACACTGAATAGAGAAAAAGAACATAAATGCAAGGGAAGAAAGGTTATACAATGGGACGATAACGTCCATCTGCGTGTAATCTAGCTAAGTGCTTTGAAGTGATATCGTTAATGGTTAAACAGCCGCAAAGAGCCTGACATAGTCTAAACTCGTCATACAAAAGCTGCAGAGCGAGCTCGACACCTTCCTGTCCGTTGTAAGCTAATCCCCAGAGCACAGGTCTTCCAATCCAGACATGCTGAGCGCCTAGCGCGATCGCCTTAAAAATATCAGTACCTCGACGTATCCCGCCGTCAAGATGTACTGGTATACGACCACCAACTGCTCCCACGACCTCCGGTAAGGCGTCAAGCGTGCTGCATGAGCCATCCAGCTGGCGAGCACCATGGTTTGACACTATGATGCCATCAACACCAGCTTCGACTGCTAACATTGCGTCCTCAGCTGTCAGAATCCCCTTAAGCCAGATTTCACAATGAGTACTATTTTTGAATCGCGCAATGCCCTCCCAGTCGAGTTGATCGTCGTACTCCAGTCGCTCATCTCTGGTAACCATATTTCCGTCTTCTACGGGGAGATTCGGTAGTGTGAGGTGTTCTGGCAATTTAAACTGGTTCCTATACTCATTTAGGCGGCGTCCAAGATAAGGACAGTCGATGGTGAGGAATATCGCTTTGTATCCCGCTTTCTCAGCACCTTTGATGATTTCCATATTAATTGAATTATCCTTCATAATTGACAATTGTTGCGCATATGAATTGCCGCCATTCGACTGAGCAATGACGTCCTCGCTGGAAGTATTTGTGTACGTCGAAAGACACATGTTGACACCCATCTTGCTTGCTGCGCGAGACGTAGCCAACTCGCGACCAGGATGTGCAAGGCCCTGCATGGCAGTAGGCGATATACCAAGAGGAAACGATACCCTGCTACCAAGGCACATTGTCGAAGTGTCCAAATTCGTCAGATTACGCAAGACTCTTGGTCTGAGTTTATACCTATCGTAAACTGCGGTATTGTCCCTGAGGGTGATGAGATCCATAGATCCTTCATTGTAGTACTCCGCTACAGTCTTATTGAGCTTGCAATAGGAGGCTTTCTCGAGGTCGCTGATGCAGGTGATTGAGGGATTACACTTTGTTGGTCTATTCATTGCGATACTACTATCGACGCATCTCTTATTGAGGCTTTTTATATACTGCTATCTTATCTAACTCGGCTCAAACTAAGCGGTTTTTCGAATGAACCAAAATGGGCACGGCTTCAATTAAAGCATATCCCCTGATTTTTTTTTTCAATATTTAGCTGGAATTCTAAATTTATACATGGACGTAACGAAGATGGAGAAGAACATGTTCTGTTGAAAGTAGAATTACATTGACTGGATGCGAAACAAGCACAGAAAGCTCAATTAATAGTTATCAATCTGTGCTTCCTATCTCAGCCATGTCTTCTTAATCGTTTGCTATCTTTCTTTTCCACTGGTGAGATAATTTCTGATCGTTTTCTGTATAATTAGACTCACTCAGCTAAACGCTCATAAATTTTCCCGGATATTGCTAATGCATAATAACTGACTATTCAGAAAAGCATGAAATTTTGACTGTCGATGTACTTGAGGGTCGCGCACAGCAAAATGTGTCACAAACGGTCGTTAAAATAGAGACCTGGCTACTTAGGACGTATGACTTTTTATTTTTCATGCTTTAAAGTTATATATCTTGTGATTTTTGTAATCGTACTGCAATATCGCGCTCTATAACATCAATGGTTCAAGGCTAACTAACAGCGGGTGAACACCAACGATATTGTTGGAGGATATATGACAAATACAAAGAGATAAGTGTTATCTGAACTTTTTCTTGGAACATTCTAAGCATCCTTCTAATTTTACGAGATCGTTCAACTAGAATTGATCTGGATGCCAAAACACGCGGCAAGCTTATCTTGGCTACCTAAACAGAGTGTATTGTTTAGCTCAAACTAAATTCTATATGAATTCAAACTAAATCAAGCAATGTGAGACGGCAGGTATACCCAATAACGATATAATGGGTACTGATGATAGAGTTTGCCCATGTAAATGGTTGCCTATAAAAGGAATACCGGGAATTGTGTTTGACATAAATAGTGGCTGAAAGTAACCCAATGGGAATGCTCAAGTAAACATGAACTAGATGATGTTTTGTCGATAAGCATATCAATAACATCTGCATCATCTAACTACTGGTGATGCGAATGGAAAAAAGAAATTTAATACAAAACTAGAGCAAACTCTTTTCTAAATTGCAGAGAGAGTGAAATGTATCTACCACACTCACTTCGAATGGCGTAAATGATTGCCCGAGTAATTCTTGTGCCTTATTGTTTGAGAATCCCATCTGTTTAACATTCACACCAGCTCCTGGAGATCCTCTCAATACGCGATTCTTGACAATATCATCATTTGGAAGTTTTTCATGAAGCACATCGGCTACATCTTGCCCTAGATTGTGTCTGAGTGTAAGATGACAAATCATTTAGACACTCACAAGTAAAACCACCCTTGTCTGAATTTGAAATGAAACGCTGGCCGCCTGCCACTTCTTTCGTAAGAGAGAGTAGATGAGTTTTGGCGGCATCTCTCACATCCACAAAGTTCCCAGCCGCGCCCAAGCTTTGCTGCTTACCGATAAGGAAGTTGTAGAACATCGCAGTAGATGTGTTTAGCTGGTCTGCAGAGCTGATTTGCTGCTTTGGAGGACCGAATATCACGGCAGGATTGACAGTTGCGATATCAAATGACGTCTTAGCCGATGCCACGTATTCCCAAGCAGCTTTCTCTGCTAGCGATTTGCTAGCTCTGTAAATATCAGCAGGAGTTGCCTTATCCTGCTTCTCATTCACCTGTCTGATAGAAAATTCATTCCAACTTTCTTCCGTAAACACCACTTCCTCAGTAGTAGGTTCAAAGATGGCAGCGATTGATGAGGTAATTACAACACGCTTTAGGGTGTTATTGCCATATTCATGAGCTGCTTTCAGGAGGTTAAGCGTGCCATTGACAGCCGGCAATATTAAATCATTTGGATGTGAGGCATTGAAGCTGTACTGCGTAAGACATATAATAGATAATCACTAACACTTACTGGAAAGGGGAAGCTGTATGTATGACTCCATCCATACCCTGGACAGCGTCGTCGAATGCACCATCCACGACACTGTCTGGAACAACAATGAAGTTAAACCTACGATTATTGAAATAATGTAAGAGGTATTCTCCCTTGCTAGATGATCTGACGGTGCCCCTGACTTCAAATCCAGCGTCTAAGAGACTCTCCACGAGGGTGACCGCTAGAAATCCAGATGCACCTGTAACTAAGACCTTTCCTGTATTTATTGCTGGCATTGTATGACAATAATAGAGAGCATTACTTCTGTTTATATAGACATAGCTGGTTTGACTTGGCTCCGTAACACTCGATCAACGCGATCACGCCATTTTGACCCTTAGAGCAATGGGAAATCTCTTGTATACCATAAATATACCACCGCGCACGATAATAGGATTTGGAAGTTCCAATTATGCGGCATCTTCTCTGTCCAAGTAAACTAATGAATTCAGGCGCAAATGACTTAACCAACGTTATACCTTATAATACAATATTACTAGGGAAAAATAGTAGAAAAGCCATCAAAATTCCCTGCTGTTTTCACATTCATAATTAGCACAATTACACAATTGAACGATGATGATAATGATGATACAGAGATATTTGTTTAAATAATACAAAAAGCTTAACTGTATCCAAAAAAAAAATCTTGAGGTTATGCGAATCTATATTGAGTGCTAAATTAACTGGGACCGATTTTTGATTGATCTCATGGTGTCTTAATAATTCGCTTTGACTCGATGCCTAACAATCAGGAACAAAAGCGGGTGTAACAATTGCGGTTTGAAGAACTTGTAGGCTACTTTTAGGCTTTGAGCATTTCTAATCGTCGGACCGAATTTAGACGAGATGTTGATCTTGATTATCCCTCCTTCTTGAGGTGATTCTTGCCGTTACGTGGCTTCCACATAAAAATATTCTGTGCGAGATGCTGTCATCTGTGTCCCACGTGCTACATTTACATTTAGGTTAACCAATCAGTTTGAATCGGTAGCGATATGACTTATTCATAAGGACGTGACCTGTGCGTAGCTGGGTTGTCGGATACCTAGTCTCTCTGAGCATTTCGTAGAGGACCTTGGCCGTTTTTGCAGCTGTCAGCCGGAAGGCTGATAATGCAGAGGTGTTGGACTTGATGATTGACGCTTTCGAAGCTTCTGTCAGAATACCACCAATACAGGGCTGAACATACAGCATCATTTCGTGACTAGGGACGGACGGAACAAGGATGCGCAGCAAGGACAATATGAATCCCAAGGCTCAATAAGCTCAAGGACAACAGGGAAAATGCGGACAGCGAAGATTATATAGGAAGAAAATCTTGTACACGACTGATGATCTGAATGATCATGAAATAATGATATAACGTAATGCATTTGACAACCAGTAATAAGCGTGCTTAATGTTTACGAGCTGTTGTTACTATTAAATGAATAGGATCTATATTAGATGATTTTTAGTATAAAATATTTTGTCTCTTATATATGTTTTCCAGTGTCTCATTTCTGGTGTTCCTTTATTGGGGGATATTTATGATTGGTAAGCTATGTGCGTGTTGTACTGCTTGTGCTTGGTAATCTACGCCCGTATTATCTTTCTGTGATTGGTAATCTTCGTCCGTATATGATGACTCGACTCAGTAATTTATTCCCGAGACATTGTTGACTGACTCTGTATGTTCAGCCCCTGTACCTGGTTTCCAACACGAGCCAATAGCTTCGATTTTAAGTTGATTCCAGGTAAATAATATATGATGATGATGATGATGAAATCTAAATGTATTGTTAAGACGATACAAAGTTAAACTGCGTCCATCAATACTTCTTAAAGCATGAGGATTTGAATGGTATGTTGAATTGGTGGGAAGCGTTTCTTGACTAGTGTCGTAAAATGTCTTGGTGATTTGCGTGTCCGGGAATTTTCTCGGTTACGCCGAACCACCGGAGTATCTTTGGTATGTAGTCAATTGCGGTTTGAAAAACTCGTAAAGGGCTTGAAGAGCTTGTGCGTTCCTGAGCATTGGACCCTAATTCGAACCGAACGTTGATCTTGGTTATCTTTCTTCGCAAGGTGATTCTTGCCATTATGTGTCTTCTACATATAAA